TTCTTAATGCTAGCCATTCTTACTGGGGTAAGGTGGAATCTCAGTGTTGTTTTAATTTGCATTTCTCGAATGACTAATGATGTTGAACATTTTCTCACATATTTATTTGCCTTTTGTATCTCCTTGTCTGAGAAGTGTGTATTCATCTCCGCCAGCCCCTTTTCTTGCACTGGAGTAGTGGGAGGAAAAGTGGCCCTAGCTGGAGTGGGCAGCTGCTGTTCACTGGCTGGTTGCAGGTTGGGTGTGAGGCTGAAGAGTGCATGTTGTCATGTCTCAACATTTTTTTGCTGCACCATCTCCCCAAGCATCCTCTTCTGTACTTTCTCTGTTCTGTTCCCTGCATTCCCATGAAACCTGTCTTTGATCCCACAGCCAGGCCAAAATTCCTCTTTTCTGCATCTGGGCCTCCTTTGCAGCCACAGGCTGCAGAATGATGTTTTGATCAGTGGTGGATCCCATGTACCACAGTCCTATGAGATGATAAAAGAGCTGAGAGCCTTTGTCACTCCTGGGTCTGTCCTTGCTCTCAGCCCTCTGTCTGCTGAGGCATATGGATGTCAGTTTGCGGTTCTGTCCCTCTCTCCTGGGGTTTCTAAATGTCTTTCCCTCTGGTCACCCCTGAAACTTGTCTGAGTATGAACCAGATGCAGGATGGTGAAAATAGCTGGCGTAGCTCCAGCCCACAGAGACTGGGCTCACCAGACTCAGTACAAGAGAGAGCCTGGTGCGCCTTGTGTGTGCCTGAGGGCTCTGTGCCCCTTCCCCCTGGCTGGGTCTGTGTCCAGAGCAGACTCAGTGTGGATGTGGTGGGCAAATGCCGTGACCTCTGAGCCAGCTCCACAGCCTACTGGCCTGTGCTCTCTGCTCAGGCCTTTCTGCTCTGGAGTGTAATGACCCCCACCATGGGAGCAGAGAGGCGGGTTCTGGTGGCAGCTTGTGAGTCCCCTGAGCTGTAGGAGACCGAGACTGACCTCCATTGTATATTAGTAGCCGTCTTACGCGTCTTCCCCTTTAAGTCAGGACTGCCTACCATTACCTAGCTACTCCCGCCCTTGTCGGGTTACTTGGTTACTCCCACCTTAAGAACTTCCGTATTTCCCCGCGCCCTATATATGCGCAATACTCCCCCCCAATAAACGAGACTTGATCAGAGCATTGTCTTGTCTCCATTCTTCGTGTCTCTTGTCCCTTTATAATCTCCACTCCCCCTCTAGGGTCCGAGTTGGCTGTACCCGCAGGCCGGGACACTGAGCGGTGTGCCCATGCTAGCTAAGGCTGCAGGTGTGCATCTTCTTGCAAGTCTCAGTATTTGGGATATTGATTGCAGCTTCAGTTTAGCTTAGAAAGCAGCCTGAAGGCAAGTGTCTGATCCCCCAGTGAACTCTGCTGCTGCCAGCTGGAGGGGTCACTTAGGGTGGAGGCCAGATTCTGAAGGGGTCTCCAGCAGGGGCTGTTGCCTGGAAGAAAGGGCTTTGTTACTGAGGACCCTGTCCGGGGCTCACCCTTTCTGTGGTCCCTTGTGTCATGTGGAGAGCTCTACTGGCAGATGCACATGACCACTAACCAGGGGCCTGGAAAAGAGAACATTCCCCAGGCCTGGGCTAGCCTGGACTGTGTGAAGGCAGCTAGTATGCGTCGCCTGCCTGCTACTTCGCCAGGACCCTCCTCAGGGTGGGAGGCAGGGTTTTGGTGAGGGTTGTGGGGATTCTGAGGTGAGTGGGATTTGCCGTCCGGCCCTGGAGTTACTCAGCTTGAAGGGAGAGTATGGGGAGGACACGTTGTCCAGGCAGCTGTCAAGCAGCTGGGCAGAATGGCTTATAGGCTCCTGTGAGAGGCAGAAGGGGCAGTTTAATTCTGCCTGGGATCCAGCACACGAATTTTAACTTGGAATCTAGACTCTGAGGGGTAACAAAACCTCAGTATTCAAGAGAAGCAGCGTTTTAAGGTAGTGTCTTGCTTCTTTTGAAAAGCAGTGCTGTGTATGTAACCCAAGGCATGGTGCACAACACGCCAGTGCTCTACACTGAGCTATTGTGAGGCGGGGGAGGTGTCTGTACCTCGGGCATCTAGGACAAGGCCGCTGCATCTCAGGAGTTTGGCAGCAGAGCTCAGGGGGCTGATGCACAGAGTGACTTGACCTTGGCTTGAGATAATACACTTTCTTCTTTCTCGTTCCCCGTGAAGCCGCCCAGGCATGGTGTTCTACTCAAGATTAGAGATCCTTCCAGTCCCAGGTCCTAACCTCTCCTGAAATGCTCCATGAACTTATTCTTATGCTGGTCATGTAAATAAAAGTGCTGCAGGTGCTGGGTAACTCCTTTCTTCTATCAGGAGAGAGGACTCCACCTGACCTGAGCTTTCTCTATATTGGCTCCTGTCTGCACCTTCCACCATCCCCGCTCCAGAGTTTCAAGAGCTGCACAGGATACAACAAGTGACATCAGCAGCCCTAACAGTGCATCTAAATAAATCAAAGCA